GCATGGACCATTGACCACGCGTCCTCGAGAGGACCGGCCATTGTTCCCACAGGACCGATTACGGATAGCCAATCGTTCCTTCCTACTTTGCCAAAGGTGGCTCAAAAATGTCTTTCCTAGTCTATCTATCCCAACGATATCCCTTGCCGCCTTTTTAAACCACATCCTTCTCCCCGGTACAGCTACCGTCTTCTCCTCTCTATCCCATGCCTCAAACATATCTGTACCTCCCTTGTATTTTTCCCAGCTCAGTCATGTACACTTCCTTCTCCTTTTCGTACAACTGACATTCCACGACTACATGAACACGGTCTTCGTATTCGAAGCCGCAATCACATTTGAACTTGTCGTCCTCGTCGTCTACCGTCCTATGTCGTCGTCGACGTTCTCGAAGGCCTATGTCCCCCGTCCTGAAATTGACCTCAAGCTTTGTCCCTGCATCCATTGGTCCATGAAGGTAATCCTTGAACCCTATTCCTTCCTTCAACATTCCGTACACTTTTAGAACGTCCTTATCCTTGGAATATTTCCTTAGATTCTGTTCTTCCCTCTCGGCACGAGCAACAGATATCTTATCCTTGAACCCCTGAAGACCCGCCGTTTCCAGCGTTTCATCTTCGCCGATGTCGAACCCCTTCCATACGTCCTCTACAACCTTGACCCATTCCGTGGGTTGTCTACCCCCTCTTTTCCTTTGCCCACTTTGCCTCCCATACTATTCTCAGCAACCTCTCCTCTCCCATCCCGCACATGCGATACTGCCATGTCAGCTTCCTCGCGTCTCTTCCCGACCGTAGGGATTGGATCCCCAATTCTGCCCTCACGGCTGCATTACTTGTGCGCTTGGAGCATCCTAGGATGGTTTTCGCTGCTTTCATCTGCGCTACCTCGAGTTATTTCACTACCTTCTTATTTCCTTCCCATACTTCTCCGGCGTACTCTAGTGGCGGTACGATTACGCTCTTCAGAACCGTCAATTTGATGCGTGTATCGAGGTGCCGGTTTGCGAGTATTGGGTCCGGGCGGGGGGAGATCAGGAGCCTAACACAAGAAAGAGCGCACATCGGTTTGAAAATATGAACTCAGGCTTTTTTAAATCATTCTGCAGCCACAGTAGTACGCGTTCCCTTGCAAACCCCAACAGCCAGGACACGGGCAAAATAATCTTAACAGAGAAAAGGGGAAACTTCACCAGAAAGTCGTTGGGGCCTTCATGTTCGGGATTCTTGAGGGGTCCAGGGCAACGCGTCGTTCTGCAGAGAACGTGGCTACTCATGACCTTGCGTGCATATGTAGCAGAAGACACGTTCTTGGGAACGCGCCTATTTCAGCCCTAGACACTGCGCACAATCAAACGTTGCGCATTCTGTTGATCGCAGGCTAATTACGGCCTTCTGTTTTCACCCACTTTGTGCAGGGCCGACAGAGCGTATTGCGCATACGTCTGAGGAATCGAGCCCACAGGTCCCAGCTCACAATGCTTTCTGAAGCAAGGAATCAGCGCTTTGCTTGGCGTCGCCACGGCCAAGATTGACAGTATCAACTGCCAACCGCGCAGGTCGCTATTGGCGTCTGGATTTGAGGTTGTCTGCTTGCATACCTGATCAATCAAAATAGGAGGGAGCAGAATCTGTGGACAGGACAGCAGTGTTCATCGGTGTCGAGAGTGGGAGTTATTCTCCTATCATGAATACATTCCCTAGTTCGGACGAGATTCTGAAAGCCTGAGATAGGGTCAAAAGGTATTTCTACGATCCGACATTCCTTTGTTTGCAGTTGCGTCGCGGATATCTCGTCCCGGTGTCTGATTTTTCTGTCAGCGGTGTTTGTTTTCGAGTAGATCCAGTTTGAAGACCATGAAACGTGTTCGGGAACCAACGAGGGCTTATCCTCAACTCCGGGGCAGCAGTTGGTACATGTGGACGGCCGATGAAAAGGACCAACCAAGACTTTCTCCTTTGACTTTCCCCTGGGGCAATTCCTCTGCTCACGAACCGAACTAAAAGAGCGATGTAGTTTTCACGAGCAGAAATAGCATCGGAAAACAAACCTTTGTTCTCTCGACGAATATGTTTAAGCTCCGTTATTGAATCGCGCCAGGCGGGCATAACACCGACCCCCACCATGTTGTGGCACCGCACGGACGCTAAAATCGCGGGTCTTACAGTTATCAACTATGGTATGTAACTACCGATAACCGCGTGGTGCCTTTGCTACGCGCCCCCTTTCGACCGCTGCGCTTCAGAAGATGGTACCTGGCAGATAATTTCATCTCTGAACTCTTGCGTGGAAGCCAACAACCTCGTGTGGAGGCTCTTGATGAGCTGCATTCCGGATTCCTTGGCTTTCTTGTCACCCATATACACCATGATGTCCCCGAAGCACGCCACGCACTCGCTCGACACGGCTTTTGCTTGGTTGCACGCGATCGTCAGCGGAACCGTGATCTGCTTTCCCTTCCAGCTCAGCAGCGTCTCCATTGGGGTCCTTTTCTTCCCAAGTAGCCCCTTCCGAACGGTGTTGTACATTTCGCGGGCATACGGCTCGAGGGCCATACAGGGATGGCCTTCGGGGTCGGCGTCATCGTCCTCGGTGTCCGGTGGTCCGATGGAGCCCGCGGGAGAACTTGGCGCCCCCTCGCCTCCGGTGTCCGTCCCGTTAGTAAACCATGCTCCGATCAGCTGGGGAGAGGGCGACACGGTGCCAGCGACCGACGTGCGGCGCGTGCCCCCAGGGCTGGCTGGGAGGTTGCTGTTGCTCAATTCCGTCTCTACCGCCGATTTCCTGATGCTTGCAACGCGAGGCATGCCGACAACAACTTCCGCATCATCTTCCACCGCGCAACACGTTGCGCCGGCCTTGTTTTTCGGGATGACCTGTCCTTTTTGGTTCACCCAGACAATTTCGACCTCATTGTCGATCGTGATATTGTCTCGATAGTTCTGTGGAAGGCCCTCCATCTCTGTAGGCAAGGATAGAACGGATAGATGTTAATTGTTAGTGCTGGCGAGACACCGGCAGCACAGCAAATAACTGACAGAGTGCGCTGCTGTTGGATCTCGACACCAACCCTCCAGCCGCCGGAGTCACGTTGCCGGCGCCGTGCTTACTCCCTTGATGCAATGTGACACTCAAGACAGAGGGTATGCTCGCTGTAGAGAGCGAGGACAGTGACTGTTTTCGACGTGGCACGTGCGTGTCCACCCATCAAGGGCCTTTCCGGGTACCTGACAAAGTTTACCTGACACAAAGGGCCTCTGCCCTTGTTACAAAAAACGTCCGAAAGGATATTCTTCTCGTTCTTGTGTTGCAGGCGGAACAGACTTTTTTATTGTGCACTACTGTTGCACGTCATGTTGTTGTTTGTTGTTTCTCACATTAGCTCTAAAATGTGTATGAAGGTGTACCGGCATGTCCAGAATTCTGTATTCATCATACTCCAAGTACATGAACGTGTTTACCGACATGTCCAGAACCCTGTGCATCTGCAGCGACGTCTGTGGTAGGTTGGCTGTAGCCTGTGTTGACGACCAGTGAAACTGTCCGTGAAACGGAACCAAGAAATTTCCACGGGTTCTGAACTTCTGAACTCCCCGAAAGGTACAGAGCAAGAAAAAGGTACTTGTAAATCACAAGAAAAACGAAGGCGTATGTACCTTCGTATGTACCTTCGGCTTCTCACCGACACCTCTTTCAACAGCCTGTTTCCCGAGGTCACAAATCACAGCAGTCGGGTAGGATCATCAGCATGAGAAAAGCTGCTGCGCGTGATGCGGTCTTGGGCGAGGGGACACGAAATCTTCTGAGGTAAGTGTGTTGAAGTTTGCAGCGGAGAGCAAGAAGACAGCAAGAGAGCCTACCGCAACAGGCAATAGAAGACGGCATGATGTCCAGCAGAGGTACATGCTGCGAGTGATGAGTGCACAGCAGCAACAGCAGCAAGCAGTAGCAATGACGTGCTATCGAAGTACAGACACTACAGCAGTATCCAGCGAAGCATTGTGCTGGAGTGATCTTTCGCCGAAGGGATATGTATGCATACGGTCTGAACAACTCGGCTCTTTGCTTTGTGATTTGAAGGTGTAGCGGCAGTTCACGAACCATACATCAGCGATGTGTAGGCTGTTCAGTGCTGTATTGACAGACGTTCCACGAAATGGTAAAACATTAGTCTATACAGCAGTCAAAGACACACACATCTATCTACAGCAGTACAAGTATCTGCATTGAAACAAAATATAATGACACTGCTGTACCATACAATATGCCTACATAAACCGTTCTATTCAAATGTCCGGGTTTAGTCTGCAGCAACAGCCGTGTGGTCTCGGTATAATGCCGGTGCGTCCAGCCGAGGTCATCGGCCCTATCGGGAAAATGAATACTGTCTGGTTGATCCTGGTACCCACGGGGGAGACGTCGCTATCTGCTGCTCGGGAGATCATGGAAACACAGGTAGCCTTCACTGACGCTATGGATCTATTGCTAAACTGTCTTGGACTCTTTTCTTAGAGATGGATTCGTTTTGTCATATTAAGAAAAAAACATACACACACAGCATACCACGATATCCTGGCTTCGGCTGGGATTGAATTAACAACCCTTTTTTTGATGTCCCCCGCTCTTTGCATCAGTGGCTTCCTAGGTTCGGGCGAGGGCACGTGTGGAGCTATGGCAGTGTATGCGTTGCTCTTTTGTTTGAGTCACCTAGCTGCTGACACTTGGGAGTGCACGATTATCAAATTGGGAGGTGTAGCATACCACGATATCCTGGCTTCGGCTGGGCTTGAATTACCCTTTTGCTGTCCTCCGCTCTTTGCATCAGTGGCTTCCTAGGTTCGGGCGAGGGCATTTGTGTAGCTGAGATGTGTGTCTACGTGAAAGAATATGTAGAGAGAGTCGTATTGGCATTCGCATCTAGCGCATTGCACATTTTTCGAAATTTGGCCCCCTTCCAGGGACCTTGATATTTACCCGCTGGCATTGACGTCTTTTGATTGGTCAGCCGGTTAGCGCGGTCGATGCTAATGATAAAAAAATACACACACACACACGGACAGAAAGACTGCGACCTGACTAGTGCCGGTTACGGCATTTTTCAGGTTCTGGGAAGCTGACAAGCTGAGAAATTCGTTATTTGCCGGTACTGGCACTATTCAGGGAATCATCGAGTTATTCAGGACGAAAACGTGATACTGCTGTAATACGCCGGAATGTTGTACACCCCAAGCATCACGAGATAGGGAAGCAAGTGAATCCCGTGTCAGGAGGTTCGGTATGCATGCCGCTGCCGAGCATCAGAGACGCGTGCATCAATGGGTCGTTTCTCATCACTCAATGTATCTGTGGGTCTGCTGCACTATTTTTCCTGCATGCACAGCAGCGTCTGTGCACAACAAAACTCTTCCTGACGTGTTAATGGCCCGGATGCCGTCCCTTGACTCGCAAAACACACGAAAGATAATTACGAAGTCGAATATAGTAATGCAGACATCGAAAGCAACAAACCAAAAAGCCAAGCATCTGAACACACTCAATGAAGTAAATTTTAAGCAACATACTCCGGAGTAAAAAACATCCGAGTGCACCCATGTATCCAAACAAAAAAACATCGCACCACCGGTGACGTTGTTCCACGTAGGTGTGATGGCATCATGTTCGACACATTAGGAACATAAATACAAACACAGAAAGACTACCCATTCGCGATATGACCACAGTCATACCACAACCTCGAACACCATTATCTTGTATGCTGCGTACGTGCGCAAAGTTTTTTCTTGAGAACCGGCACAATTCATGGACCAGCGGACCCCCGAACTGGCGTCATGGAGGCATTTGCGTCTATAATGCCTGTACCGGCAGTGTACCGGGCTCCGTGCGGTCCAGCCGATTTCACCGGCATTATACCGGGCGACCGGCATTACACCGGGACCACTATTATACTGTATTCCACATGATTGGAAAAATATCAATTTGACGGTTGCCAAAAGTTTTGTTCTATCATTACTTTCCATCAGCGCTCACACTTGAGCATTTTTCCCGGTACGTTGGAGCCCAATACGTGGTCACACAGAGGGTTTCCCCGACCGATTTAAGTCATCTCGTCACTCGGCAGTTTTCAAATCCCATCATCCCAACTGCAAACACCAAAAAAGAGCGAATGTTCGAAGGAACGCAACAGAGCACGGCAACATACACCCAGAAAAACCTCCGACCTGAGACACCCACCTCCCAGCCTCCCAACGGTCGTTGGGTCTTTGTAGGTGAACCAGTACGCAACCCCAACTACACATTATGTGTGGCAGAGGCGTGTCGAGAGTTATTGCGCTCGGCTAGTGTGCATAGCTGGAACGAACAGCGCGTGTGTCACGGTTTATCGCGTCCTTGACCAACCTCTTTTCACAGTCTGAATATCGATAGCACAGCGCCACACCTCCCATGCACTCTACGACACCACGCTTCCTTAACACCGCGTTTTCGTTTGCATGCAAACATTGGTCCTCCTGTCTCATTTTGCCCCTCCCGCAAATGTTTTTATGCTACTCACAGAGGGTAGGTTCCCACCTCCTTCATCCTCGACTGACTGCTTTTGTTGCACTGCCTCAAAACAAAACCAACTTACATGCGAACAGCACGCCCCTTCTCGCAGAGGCGGACGAGGAAGAGGAAGACTCCGACTCGTCCGCGATCGGCTCGCCCCTAGCTGGCGGCAACCGCACCGCCCGCGGGGACGACCAACGGCGGCTCGGCGGCGGACGACGGCAGCAGCAACCGAGCTCAAGCAGAGGAGCCGCTACCGCAAATAGTTCAACAGCAGCGACATGGGCATGGGCGATCCCGCCGGCACCGCGCCCGCTAGGCGGCATTGGTGGTGCCTCGTATTCCCGGCTGCAGAGGGGGGACTACCGCAGCGAGGGCGAGCAGCCTTCCACCGAGCGTAACGGGAGCCGCCGCCGGCAGCACCCCCTGGGGGAGGCCGCCCGGCAGGACTCGTTCCGCACGAACCGCATGCCCAAGCGCGGGGGCCGCAAGCGCCTCCGGCGCAACCTGGACCGGCCCGCCGCGGCTCGCCGCCGCCGGATAAAGATCCGCGTGTCCTCCTACTGCGTCGCCCGCGGGCTGGAGACGCTGGAGCTGCTCAAGTGGCTCGAGTCCCAGCCGAACCGTCAGCTCTCGATTGGTTACCTCGCCGAGGGAGCGGGGGGTGCGGCTGCGGCGCCCCGGGGGCCGGTCGGCGCGGCCGCGGTCGCCGCCGCCACCGCCGCCACCGCCACGGGGGCGAAGACGGGCGGACAAGAGTGGCGGGGCGGCGGCGGCGAGGCGGCAGACAACGGGGGTGGCGGCACCGGTGTCGATGTTGAAACGGCCGGTGGACCAACAGCGACGGCGGCGGCCTCTCCGGGGGTAGACGGGCTCGAGTGGATGGACTCGCTCTACATCGACGTGATCCACTCGACCACCGACCTTCGGGGGGGGCTCCGAAAGGCTCGCGAGCTCGAACGGCCCGCTTGGGAAACGGACGAGTACGCCGACGGGGAGGAAGGCTACGGGGACGGCTACGACCAAGAGCAAGAGGAGGTGGACGGCACTGGTGTCGGCGGCGGCGGCGGCGGCGAGGACGGAGGCGATGATGCCGTCACCCGCCACAAGGACATCATGTTCTTCCCGTACGGCGCGGTTGTGTTCTGGGGGTGCTCGGAGGCCGAGGTGTGATGTGCAACCCCACCGCAGCACAGCGGTAACGCGGCTCGGAAAGTGTGGCGGAGTAGTACACAGTGCAACGTACCGCAACAGCGGTAGCAAGCAGCACCGTCCGGCGTTTGTGCTGCCGCAGGCGGCAGAGCAGTTGAGCACGCGTCTCGCTACGCGATGGCTGCGATTGCTTCGTTCACGGGAGGCGGTGGTTGGTAGGCCCTGACCCTGCCGTCGCGCACTACCTCTTGAGCACACGGCGCCTGGCTTCGTCAGCGCAACGGCAGGCCTTCCGTCGTTGTTTGAGTTGGCTCTGTTGGCTGAGGCATGTTTTCGTTCGAGTACGCTGTGAAGTCGTATTTCTGTCCCGGAATGGTGTGCAGATCTCCCGTTGCAGCGCAGTCCGCTTCTATTGTGACGGGTATCGGCAAAGTAGCAAGATCGCTTTTTCGTGGAGACCTCGCCACACAATTTTAGCGCGGTTTTGTTTTCTTGCCACCTGTACCTCATATTCACGGGACCTTGTGATCAGCACTGATAATCTTGGTCTCCAGGTTAACCCCCCCCTAACTTGTTATATCGCCCCCGCTTGCGTTTTCTGCCTCGGCTTGCAGGAGAAGGAAGTACTGTCCAACCTCACCCGCTTTATGATGGGGAAAGTGTCAGAGACCGAGCTCGCCCAATCCTTCGACGACATGTGCGTTCGTTCTCAGCAGTGTTTGCGGTTGCCGTGCTATTCTGCGAACCCTGTTCTACGGCCCTCGTGGCTGCGTTTAATTCAAAAGAGGTTCGAGAATCGACAACGATGAACATTCGTGGCTGCCTGTTGTGACAGTTTCTTTTTTAACTCTCGTCGGATTCGGCACCAGTGCGTACCTATTTCTAGGCGGCGTAGTCTATTTCCAGCATGACGTCGGCAAAACTTTTGACACCGTCTTGACCGAATACAGTACCCCTCCACCCAGTCCTCTGACGAAGTGGTCCCGCGCCTCGCTCTCTCTCTCTCTCTCTCGCATGTTTCCTGCTTTGTTCTATGCATATATGGCATCACTGTTGCTGTCTCTCCGGCTCCGGCTACAGGACTTTCGTGTACCGACACCGCGGGGGGAAAAGGGGCGTGCCTTTGAAAAACGACGAGGTGTGTAATTCTCTCTCGCACACACACTTGTTTTTCGGTTGCCACTTTCGAGATTCTCGGGAGGGAGTTGTTTGGGGTGGGATGGGCATGTCTTGGAGAAACGGCTAGAAGGTGGTACTCCTGGTGAAAAACATACCACATGCACAAGACCTTCTTTGGAGCGGTCCATAAATCGAACGAACCACGCATGTACTCTACAATGTACCATGCACAGACAGATGAAGTACACAAGCCAGCCTGTTGTCGCCGCGATCACTCAAAAAGTACGCTTGCGTTGTTGAACGTGTTGGTGTCGATTGGTCGAGAAAGCTTCGTTCCCCGTACCCCTAAGCACGTTTTGGGCAGGCATGCCGAACGTACCCCTCCTGTCGGGTACAGGAAAAGTGAAGGTCACCCTCAGTCTCAAGTCTACGTTCGGGTGCATGCGAGTGTCGGGGCCCCGGCGTATCCCGTCAGGGGGGGGGGGGGGGGGGGGGGNGGGGGGGGGGGGGGGGGGGGGGGGGGGGGGGGGGGGGGGGGGGGGGGGGGGGGGGGGAGGGGGGGAGTGAATCGGTGAACGCACCTGACTCTCGCGTTTCCGGGGGGTGGTTGTTGGGTGTCCTACACGTGTCTCTCTGGTGTTTGTCGGGGGGTGCGTGATAAATGACCACCACCCTTGGGAACTCGTGCACCATACGCGCCCCTTTGGGCAGCAGCTTTTGAGGAGACGGCTTTCATTCTTCGTTCTTGTGGGGCTGATACTCCGATGATCTGGTGGCCATCAGAACATCCTCCTGTATTGCCTGCATTGTTTATGCTGTTTGAGGGTTGTCTCTGCCGTCGGCGGCGGCGGCGGCGTCGCCGTGGTTGCTAACGCCGTCGTTCCGTTCCCGTCTTTTGCCAGCCATTCAGCCGTTCTGCCTTGTGAGAGCCCTGTGCGCTACATCATTCTCTCTCGCTCTCGCTCTCGTTCATCTGTCCATGTGTCTCCATGTACAACACAACCAACGAGACAGATCACCCTGGATACTCAAGATCCCGCCGAGAAGCTTGCGTACTCTTGTTCCCTGGCTCAGTCCGCCAAGCTGTTTGTGTTCGAGGAGCGGCTGGACAACATCATTGAGACCACCGCCAAATACCCGCAAGTCCTAGCCGCCACGGGAAAGATTCCACTGACAGAAGTTCAAATAGGGTGAGCCAAGTCGTTGGGGGGGGGGGTTAGCATCGGCCGCGCTTACCGGCTTAACCGTTTGGAAGGATGTCGGTTGTGTGGCGGGAAAACATACGCGAACATGTGTGCGTGGTTGTTCTAGAATTCCGAGTGTTTGACGTTCGTGCGCAGTGTTGTATGTAGCGCTGGGTGACGTACCCGTCACGGATCATCAGACGCCGGCCTTCTCATTTATTTGTTAGTTTGGTGGTTTTTCAGTGCTTGCATCGATATGTGACACTGGATTCCGTGTTTGTATTTTTTTTTCTATATTGCGTCGTAGGGGGAAGAAAATGCTGAACTCTTCTCGCATTAGAAATCGAAGGCAAAGTACCGCACGAGGGGAGGGTAGAGAGGGGCGCTTCTGTGTGACCACGGGTTGGAGTAAACGGCACTAGTGCCGTGAGCGCTGATTCGAAGTGAAGACAATAAAAAAAAAGAAATGCAATCGGATCGTCTCGATTTTCTTTTTTGTCACAGCAGTCATGTCCTGTTCGTTGGTTGTGATGAAGGGGTCCAGTGGATCGAGCCATGATTCGAGGAGTGTCGTGAAACCCACGGGCGCAACGTAGACATTTGAGACTTGGCGTCCTCCCCGCCCCTCCTTGCCGCTCCCAATGCCGATGCGATAACAGGCGCTTGGTTGGACGAGTGCTCTGCGAACAAAATGAGGTCAACTTACACTCCGACATCCTGGTAAGTACCCTATCGTCACTCTGTCCAAGAAGCTAGTATCCAACACTCTTAGCACCCGGAAAGCGTCTCTTTGGCACGGACCCTTGGTTTGAGTGCTGCCTGCTTTGGGTTGCAGATTTTATACCGAAACACAGGGATGGTGTCCTATCCCTGCCCCCCCCCCTCAAACACCCTTTCTTTCTCCAGGTTTTGGCTCGCGAGGATCTACGGCCTGACGCTGTTCCCGTGAAATAGATTTTGAGTACCCCTTGCCCCCCCCTCCTCGCCTACATTATGTAGGACACGCCTGAGTATTTCTGGGAGGAGGACGCTTGGGAGCCAGCGTACGAGGCGCTGTGCGCCTACCTTGACATTCCACTGAGGGTGGACAACCTCAACAAGAGGCTGGTGAGGATTGCAGTCTATTCGTGTGACATGGACGAGTGAGGGCGGCTGGGGAGAGAGTACAGCAGTCACCCTTGTGGCGAAAGTCCGCCTGTCGCCTTCTTCGGTGACGTGAGAAAACCAACTAACCAACCAAAGGCGCGCGCCTGTTTCGTTCGGTTTTTCTATCGTGTTTGTATTCCCGGTTGGTGTGCTCGCGAACTTCGCCTGCTTCTTCTCTCCCTCTCTCCCTCTCCCTCTCTCTCTCTCTCTCTCTCTCTCTCTCTCTCTCTCTCTCTCTCTNTCTCTCTCTCTCTCTCTCTCTCTCTCTCTCTCTGCGGGTTGTGAGTTTCTGGGTCTTTCGACCTCCGTTTTTTTTCTATCTCGTTGAAACCGTGCCATGCCTTTCGGTGTCTTCTTCCACCTTTCCTCGCCCATGTCATTGCGTTGGTCTATCGGCTGCACGCGTTTTTTTTTTTTTCTTCACTTCCC